ATTTAATGGGGGAAAAGGGCTGGAGGGAAAACAAGTGACAGAGATTTCAGTAAATCCAGCAGGCACATTTTAAATCCATCCATCATACGATTGCAACCTACATGTAAATCGGCATACAACTTCTGCCCAAACTGACGAGGCAAGCGGGAGCAAATTACACCTCCGAGGCATCCCATTATGATCCACCATGATAACAGACGAGCAGCAGTCAAGTCCCGGAGCTGGCAGAGGAATGGATTCTCCTCGGCGATAGATCGACTTTATTTATGCACCTGATAAAATTTCAGAGGGAAAAAATTATCTGCTCTCAAACTAGCAGAGCCAAAAAGAGAAAGAGCATATCAATGCATACAGTTCTGTACAGTGGAGGCGAAATGCTGCAATCATAAGCAGAGGAGAAATCAGTGGTGAGCTAAATCAAAAACGGCAAAAATACAACACATCCTAGAGATGCATTTCTACACAGACAATTCCAGGATTATATCTTTTTGAGAACATTTTTAAATATTAGTGGGAATATGATAGGCTTCCCTACAGTTCTGTGCTTGTTATACTTTTATCAGATAACACATATAAAATCTCTGATGATATGTTCTCTAGAAATTGATTAGAAATGTTTTTTTAGTAATGAACAGGGGGGGAGGGGCGTCGTAAAATGTTTCGATTTCAGAACAGTAACACATTTAATAGGAAACAAGTGAATTATTAGTTCACACAGATTACACAACTAAATGATGAAAATCAGTTAAGTGAGATATTTATATTCAGAATTTATTGACTTGAACTAGTTTCATTTGAAACAGGAAACAGAACTGTGAGACGTCTTGTTTTAAGCATTAGGTTGTTTCTGTAGTTTGTTTCTCATTTTTCTGTTTTTCCTCCGAATGCCAGCATCTCCGGGATCATTTTGTTTTTTTGAAGCTCCTTCCTCTACATGAGGTTCACATTCAGAGCAGAGAAAAACAAGATTGTGATGTGATTTCCCCAGAGGAGGCTTTGGTTTGGAGGTATACGCATCCTTGACATTAGCATAAAACAAATCCAAAGTCTTGTTTTCTCTGGAGGAGCCGCTGACAAACTGGTGAAACATCGGCACTGCGTTTAAAATCACCAGACATTCGCCACAAAGGCATCGTGGTGTGTGGTGTCGGTATTCTAGCAACAACGGAACTGAGGACATCTCATGCATTGTGTCAAACTCGAGGCTCGGGAGCCAAATTTGGCCCTCTGCAAGATCTTTATGTGGCCCTTTAGACTCGAAATTATGTCAGTAAGTCACTATGGTTTTCACAAATCTGCAAAATCCACCAAATCCCCATCATTTTTCTGATTCTCTAACTTTTTGTTTCGGCCAAAAACATTGGGTCTGCCTCAGCCTTCTTTGACGTCAAGTTATAGTCTGATGCAGCACTGAACAAAAAGTCACATTTAACATCATACATTAGCTCAAATATCATAAAAATGTCTTACAAATATTGCTAAATTAGCTCCACAAAATCTGTGATTTTGATGATAAAAACCACAAGAACTGTCATGAAATCCTGGATAGATTGATCAGTGTGGAAAGATGTTTGAATAAATAATTATCTGATTTTAAGAAATACTTGTATACTATACTTAAATGTTTAAGTTAGCTATTTATTGATATTTTGACAGTTTAACGGGTTTTATATTAGGCCTACATACTGGCACAACTCTTGCCCTTTATTAACATTCAGATCTTGGATTTAGCCAAAAATTTAAATTTGTCCGGCACCCCTGCATTATGGACACAAGCTGAGGGTGTAAGGTAACCAGCTGCGAAAATAACACTGGCAAACTCTTTTTGTAAATAATATGGACAGAAACTTACTGCCAAGAGTTCAAGGTCTGGACTGCAGAGTATGTTGTGGATGACACCATCTGTCCTCCACAAGCGCTGCTAATCCACCTCGTTTTCTTTTCCCTCTCCTATTTAAATCTCTCATCTGCTGGTATTGACCCTTTGCAACTACACAACACTTGATCCCTTGAGGTGACTTGATTGACGATGGACGAGAGGGACAGGAGAATTGAACGGAGGGACTGAAATTGTTTTTCCAAGTCATTTTGTTCGTTGCTTCGAATTGTTTGAGTGAAGATAGTTTGTCTGTTAATGTAACACACTTGGGGTGGGCTCATAGACAGTAGTATTTACAAAATTTGGAAATAGCTGGCTTAGAAACCGACCCATACATCCTACTTCCTGATGTGTTGATCAAATGACCAACTTTGCCCGAATTCACACCACATTGTTTATGTTACCATGTCATAAACGATGTTTCCCCTCACACCGGAGCAGGCTTAAAAACGTACAAAAGACGAGATGCTAGCCAGTTTTTTTCCATACATGCTAGGCTACATGATGATGGAGCATTTTCTCCCTCGTTACTAATGGTTTGACGTGTTCTTTGCACCATAACGCAAAGTCTGATATATTTCTAATCATGCTTACTTACAAAGTAAATGAACATTAATCTTCTTAACTTGTAAAATTTGTCACTGCAAAGTCATGATTACAACAATATCTGACGGTCTGTGAGTTGATATCCATCACCATCGTATCTTTCCTCATTGAAAGTTATATAAAAAAATGACAAGCTTGGTTTCTATCCTCATCTGTTTGTGGAGCTTACAGCACAGCATCGTATGACTAAAGTAAACTCAACTAAATAGAAGCGATGTCAGGTTACAGATGTCTGACTTTTGACATCCTTCAAAGGCGCACATTGGGTGTTTTGACGTCCGTCATGGCGGCGCGGGCAGAGTTCTGAAGAGCATGATGTCAAAAGGGTTTATAGTCGGGGAGCCTGCCATGGAGACGTTGGAGTCGGGGACGTAATCTTGTCTCAGTAAAACACATTACGATGTATTCCACTGAGTTCCACTGTATTCCCCCGGTCTTTTGGGACCGGGGAAATGCATTCCCCCGGTCCCAAAAGAGACATAAAATAAAAATAAAATAAATCATAAGAAAAATTTTCCTCCAGAAAGGCGGAAATGAAAGTTTGAAAAAGAAAATCTCAATGAAAGTACAGAGCTACTTCAAAGTGCTGCCAACCCTGAGAGGCGCGATTCTGCCGAGGGAGCAGAGAGCACAGGAAACGGAGCCTAGTCGATGAGTGTGCTGAAAACCATTTGATTGAACTGCCTCGTTGGACGACCTACATGGTCACAAACACGATCCGTGACACCGTACAGAAATTTGAGATGGACTTTCCGCAACAATCCAGGAGGAATCGAACACAATTTTTACCCCGCAGGTGCTCAGGGCCGCATGTTCCCATCCCTCTCTTGCCTCCACTTATTTTTAGACCCAACAAACGATGAGCCGGCACATATGATAATGACGTCACACTCCAAAATAGCCTGGTAAAAAAACTGAGCACAAACAGCTTACTGCTGCGCATTCACTTTCTTGAAGAAAGCGACATCTTTGAAGGGCTGAATTTTAAGCAGCAGCTGCGTCGCTGCTGGTAAAGTAAGAGGTAGCGCTGGAATTGGTGAGCTGCAACTCATTTGCTACACTTTTGCTTTCAGAGGCAGGAGAGGATGGAAAGTGCAGATAGGAGAGGCATGAGCAAACAGGAGATAATATCAGCTTGGAAAATGTCAAAAATGTTATCATATTGTTTATTTCATAACATCGTCCTCGTAGTATGTAGCTGTAGTCAGGTTTGTGGTTATCCTGCAGTGTTTTCCAGGAGCGTAGATGTGTTTTGTTGTTTCAGACCATCATTGATGATTTCCCCCTTGGAGACTTTCATAGGAGAGTTATACCCAAAAAAAAAAAATTATTATAATCTGAATTGCTCTTAATCAGAAACCCTGGATGACCTGGCTGTCAACATGGCCTGAGGGCTGACGTCATCATTTCAGATCAAACAATCACTGTAGCTAACTTTGACATAAAGCTAAGTTTAAACACGCTGAATGAAATAGTGTTGATCAACTCATGAGGAAACCCACCTTCTATTTTTAACTAGCATTGGCTTTTTAGCTAATTTCAACTTATCCATTGCTGTTAAAGTTATTGCGTGTTTCTGCATTTTAATAAAATGTGATAAATTGAGCTAAATTGGACACAGTGAACAGAATACTCAATGTTCATCAACTAGCTTGTGAAAATCCTCCGTTTCACTGACAGCATTTTTGGCAAGCATTGGTTTAATTCCCCCTTAGCCGTCACCACACCCCACAGAGCGCTTTATAGTTATTATGTATTCTTAGATTTTAATCAAATATGATATAAAGCTAAATTGCACACACTGAAAGGGAAAAGTAGTTGGTGGGAATCAACTAGCTTGCGAAACCCCACGTCCTCTGGGTAGCATTTTAGCTCATTAGCTTTCAAGCTAATTTCACCTTATCTAGACAGAGTACTTTAAAGTTATGTTTTCATGTACTTTTGGATTTTAATTAAATATGTCATAAAGTGACACACACCCATTGGCATATGATTTAAAAACACTTTTGCCCATTTCTCCAGCACATCTGAATCAAATGAACTACTTCTGGACAGAGAAGTCATTCGCCAGCTGAATGACTTCGTCCCTGAGTCAGAGCGACCAGAGTCAGCAGATTCTTTCCTCTAGTTGTGTCAAAACATGACACAACTAAAGTAGCCGTGGTTATTTTTGTGACACGGCAGCAACAGAAACTTGCCGAGTTCTCTCCCTCCCCGCTTCCATGAAAAGAAACAAGGTCACAGTGAGGGGAACGGTGATCTGGTGCACTTTGCGCTCCCGCCGTTTAACGCTGTGCTGTGCGCCCATTACGCAATCCATGGCTCCAGCTTCCATCCGCTGGAATAATCCCTCGCACAGCGCGAAAGGCACAAACAAGCAGCTGAGCAAAAAAAAAAAAAAAAAAGTACCGAAATGCTGCACACAATCAGTGCTCTACAGCCACACGACACAAAGGATGGAGTTTAGTACTTTGACGGCGCCCTGCTCGCCAGCGCTACGCCGCACGCAACTTACTTTTCCTGCGCGACGTTCTCCTCGATGCCCTCCAGCGTGCAGTGGTTCTCCTGAGCGAGCCCGCAGGTGGCCAGGTGCCTCCGGTGCTGATCCTTGAGACAGGCGTTTTCCTTGCACAGATCGGTCACCTGGAGCTCCAGCTCCTCGATCCGGATCCTCTGCTTCTCCAGCAGACCCTGCTGGGTCCCGATGATGTTATTCAGCTCCTGTAGGTACTCCGCCGCCTTGCTCGGGTTCTCCGTCGGATGCTCCATCTCGGCGGAGATCCGCTGTCCGTCCATGAAGGCGGCTTCCACGCGAGCAGAAAACACACACACGCCCTCCCCTCCCCGCCTCTCCAGCTTCCTCTCGGGCTCAGCGGGAGTGAGTCGGAGCGAGGTCCGGTCCGCTCATCCCGCTCCGCTCCGACATTGTCTGCCGCGCTGCGGCGGCGGGCAGCAGCGGTTCTGGGGGAACTTGGCCCGGTTTCGGTGCGCAGGTGTATGGCGAGCGAGGTGCTGCAACCATCCTCCAACCCCGCCGCCCCGCGCACCAGAGGAGCCGTTTAACCCTTGCGGCTCCGCCGGCTTAGCGCTGCGCCGACACGTTCAGAGGCTCTCCCCTCGCTGCTCAGCGGGAAGCACGCGCGCACGCCGGGCCGGCTGCAGTCCACGGCACGTGCACCTGTTTCAACAGGTGGACAAAGTTTCCGTCTGAACGACCCGATTCAGCTGCGCGCCCGCAGACAGCGGCTACAAGCGCTTCTATTCACCATACGACAGCATTCAGCTTCTATGCGCCACAAATCTCGAATAAACTTCCAGAAAACCGCAAAACAGCTGAAACACTGAGATCCTTCACACCCAGCGCTACTGAGCTAAATATTTAGCTTGCTAATTATTCGACAATAAATAAAATAAGAAATATTTGATTAACAATTTGAAATATCTAGCTAAGTATTTTGTTTTCAAACTAAATATTAAGCTTCCTATATTTTTTATTTTTTTTTTGCGCAAGCTAAATATTTATTAGACCAATTGTTAGGGTGTGAATTAAATATATAATTTGTGACATTTTGAAAAAAGTATGAATAACAAAGTGAAAACATGACTTTGAAAAATGAATATCCGTTTCTACTTTGTTTTTGGGGTTTTTTCCCATATGACAACCAAAATAACCAAAATATGGCAGTTCATTTATTTTTTGTCCCATAAAAAAGGGCTCGCTCTCCTCCATAGTATAAGGAAATGCACGACTCCAATATTTTTAGAAGGAGGATTCTTACGTTTATTTATTGCAAATAAATAAATGCCATATTCATGGACTGAATATGGCATGGACTGCAAACTCTGCTTGCATATTTTTCAATTTTTATAAACACGTTACCCTTCCTGTGACATTAAGGCTTAATTTTGTTTCCTACTGGTAAAGAGAGAATTTGTTTCCAAGGTGGGGAAGCCATTAGGATTTAGATGTGTGTGTATCTATGTTTGTAAAACATTTAACTCTTATAAAACATCTGTGCATGAAACACTGTAGGTAATGCTGCATTAGACTTAGATCGGGACTTGAACTGGCGACCTGCAAATTGCAGGACAAACTCCAGTTACCCTAATCACCATCTCTCATACAACATGGGAAAATGTATTTGGTCACACAGTTGGTTACTGATGAGGTAACCAGAGAATTGCAAAAACCAAAGACACATCTGGTCCCTGTTACGCATGTCGATGTCAATTTATTTATGTAACAGATAAGAACAACAGATGATGACCAAAGTCCTGCACAAATAAAGCAAGATAACAACAAGAACTTGTTTTAAGAGCAAGAATTTTTTTAAACTGCAAATTAACTTCATTGCCTGTCATTATAAAAGAAACCCAAACTCTGCTTGATTCAAATAAGTCGAGATTTAAAAGTCTCGAAAAGGTAAAACCATTTCAAAGTTAAGGAGCACAAATTTCACAAGCCCTGATTACTTCTGAAAACCCTCAAATCTTCGTTTGAGGTTACACAGCTCACATCTGGTCACATGCACCAGCGGCAGCTACCCCTGCACTTTTTTCCCTGGTGCACACACACCTGACATTTAGTGAGTAATTGCTATTCTGGATGCCGCTGCATAGCCTGCACCACTCTGCAAGCCAAACAGCGGTTTTAGGTGAAGCACTAATGTGGTGGTGTGGTTTCATATTCCACTTTCTGTAACAGCTGCTGCTCACTGTGCAGAAAGTGTTAGGGTTAGAGTAGGAACATCAATGTAATGAAAAGCAGTAATTTAATTCACTGCCAAAGAAGCAATCGAAACATTGTACAACTGCAGACCTGCATTTCTTCAAAACGTTTTGAAAAATATCTCTAACTCTTAGTTTCTCCACTCTTCATGAGGTTGTTGGACCAAATGTGTTCCAGTCATAAATCAATGTTTGTTACCAAGTATTGATATGCTTCAGTCATGCACCCATATATGTGGCCATCACAGGTTCAAGTCACAGCCCAACTGCCTTTGCTGCATGTCTTTCCCTTCTCACACAACCCAATTTCCTGTCTGACAACAACTGTCAAATAAAGGCCACTAGAGCATTACTGTAGTCTACAACTACGACAGTCTACAATCTCAATGTCAGTTTTGTGGATTTTCAGTAGTGGCATTGTGGTTGCTACGAAAATCTAACATCTGTCATTTGCTTATGTTGCCTTGATCTCGCACCAGTCAACAAACCTCTGAGTCCACTCACTGTCTTTTATCTGGTTCATGCTCAACTGTCTGTGACTTTATGTTAAATTCATCCAAAACATGTGAGGATCACACAATGCAAAGTATTGATAGAAAAATTTGTGATGCAGAGGGTGACCAGAAATGGAGCTGGTGCCTTCCCCCTCCTCGACTGTGGATCAGTGTGTCAGACACACACAACCTTGTGTCCTCACGTACTGTGAGTAAATGGTTACATAGTTCGGTATCAAGTGAAGCACAAGGTCTGCAGTGCTCAATGTAAAGGCACTGTCCAAGTAAAAAAAAAAGTAGTGAAATCCTGTCTCTGCCACAGTTATTCTGGTGATATTAGAAGTCAATGTTTAAACGGTTTAAAATGTTACAAAACTCGAGATACATTGCAGCACAAGGCATGTACAGAAGCAGTGAAAACTACACTCAGTAATGTTTACGAAGAGAGACGAGTGATACTCCACTGGAAATTAGTTTTACTCATCTGTCACTAGTGTATTGGATAAAACTTAAAGTTAGCAAGAGAGATAATGCAGCATTAAGAATTCTCCAAAGCTGTTGGGAATACTCAATATTCCAAAATGTCATTGTCTCAAACAACACGTTTTGAAAGTTTGGAAAAGCTTAATTATCCTTCTTATTAGTCAGAGTGTGAATACAGGTATCTTAAATTACAATTCTGGGTCGTCTAAAAGCAAATTTAGATCGAAATTCAGAACGCAAACGGGTCAGTCTTACTAAAACCGTTACCATACAGTGAGGGCTTTCTCCCCTTGACCGGGCCAATCAGCGAAGAGAAAAAGAAATTGTGAATGATGACGTTTATTTTCTGCGCTGTAGTCTGGCTGTAGTTTTAGCGATAGCAGTGGCGCAAGGGAAGGAAGCCGTTCAGTCCGTCGTTAGCAAGGCTTCCAAATGTTGAATTAACATCAAGCAGCACCTCGTTGGGATCGGTTCTTCTCTCCTTACAGTGGAGGACGGGTGTTTACAGCGCAGGCAACTGGCGCATTCCTAAATACGTCACGGACAAACGTTAAAACCTCGACACAGTTCACGCCTCCCGGAAGCAAACAGCCCAGGCCCTCTGTACGGAGCAAGGAGTAGTACAAGGGGGCGTTTTATTTACCAGGCAACGAGAACACTGGTTTAAAGGCAATGTTGGGTCCGGCGTGATGCTGTGAAACAGCCTCGGTTTAGTTCCTTGCGAGCTCTGCTCAGATGCACTGTTAGCGTCTCTTTGACGTCGTAGGAGAAGCAGGTGAGTCCGTTTGGCTCGTGCGCAGTGGGGTAAATGATGATAAAGCGACTATGACGACATTTTGTCTTTCAACTTTATGGAAGTAAATATATGTCACTAGGATTTGAATTAAAAATGCCACCGAAATTTTTGTTGCGCTGACTTTTCCACTGTTCCAGTATGTCCATGATTATTGTAATTCTTTCTACCTGGCTGAAACTTCATTTCTTATTTTCACTTAAAGACAAAAAAAAATCACATTCCTATTTCAAAGTGAGGACATTTTCAATAATAATAATAAAATCCACAGCTGGAATCCAGTGAGTCTGCTCGTACTTATCGCACCGCTGCGCGTGAGCCTGACACGTCTGGCTGTTGCGTCTTTACAAGCTGCGCACCTCAATGCGCATGCGTGCATCGGTGTCAACTATTAACTTTATGCTATTTGTGTTTCCTGACAGGTCAGATTAATTATGACTTAGAAACATGTCTGTTAAAGAAGGCAATGAAGGGAAATCGAGGTAAGAAGCTGAAGCGTTCCCAGTAATGTTGATGATGTGAAATAACTTTAATCTCACAATGCATTGGTGCATGAGCTGCCCTTTGTAAGGTGAAGCATTAAAAAATGAAAAGCAATGATTTGGCTGATTTAGCCGCTCGTAAAGGAAAAATGTGGGTGTCCATTTTTTTCAGTCATATTTTCATCATTTCAAAAATAAATATTTATTTTCCAAACATTTAATTTTCAAAGTAAATATTTATTTTCCTAACTAAATTGTTAGCTCAGATCTAAATATTTAACAACCAAGCTAAATATTTAGTTATAAGTTAAATGTTTAGGTCCAAGCTGGTTTGCTGACAAGCGGAAGAGGAATATTAAACTAAAAGCTGGGTTTTGCAGACCTCTACAAAACGCCACATTAAAAAAAAAAAGGATTATTTTGGTCAATGTTAATAATTGAGTGAATATCCTGTCCACTATGATAGTTGAAAATAAGCAGAATCTACAGCAAAAGTTTCTGGATCAGCACCCATCACTGATCAAGACAGAACACATTCCTGCATTTCATGTTCTTTCATTCTTTAGTCGTTTTCAACATTTTTACACAAAAGACATATTGATGACATTTTTTTATGTAAATAATTTTCTTCTAATAATGGATGAACAGGAAGTCTTGAAACTTCGACAGCAAGATAAGAGTAAAGTTGTCCAGGCAAGGTGGCGGATGTTGATGCAGAAACTGTTGAAACACAAGTGAACTGTTAAAATGCCAGGTCACCTAACCCAATGGACATGTCAATAGGAAAAGAATCGATGATAAAAAACAAAATAAAAAAAAAATGCTTTTGGTTTTAACGAAACCAAAAACATGGTGGAGGGACGAATTGTTCCCTCCAGCATGCTTATCAGCAAACCAATATAGCTAACTAAATATTAGCTAACTGTTTAGCTTGGACGTAAATGTTGAGCATGCTTGCTAAATATTTGGCTAACAACCTAAATATGTTGTTAGCAAGCTAAATAATTCATTTGGAAAATAAATGTTTAGTTTGGAACTAAATACTTAGTCAGCTAAATAAATATTTAATTGTGAGCTAAAATTGAATATAAAAACTAAATATTCAGCTCAGGTTACAAACTAATTATCCAGCTTGTTAATTGAATAGTTAGTTTGGAAAGCTGGTAAATGTATGAATAACCTGGTGAGAATATGACTTTGAGAACTGAACACCCACATTGTTTCCCCCGTGACAGGCTAAATAAACCCAAATTATTAATGCTAATTGTTGACTGCGTCACCTTACAAACGGCTCCCCGTGTTTGTGCTGCTTGTATTAACATTTGATGTTGATCTTTCAGCTTGCACCACACCGATTTGTACAGTAGCGTCCCTCCAACATGTCTGCCCATCGTGTATCACCCTGACTATAACATCACATTCATGGGCCTGGAAAAGCTCCACCCATTTGACTCAGGGAAGTGGGGAAAAGTCATCCGCTTCCTCAAAGGTAGGAGAGTTCTGGACAGGTTTGTGGTGGGATCTCTCCCTGAGCCGCAGGGTGCTGAATTGCTTAAAGCAAAAGCTGGTCTTCTTGGCAAATGGAGAAAGAAAACACGGAGAGAATAAAAAAAGGAGGAGACGCAGGTGGCTGTGTGTTTAGGTCTGAACCTCCAGCAGGTTTTCTACCTGGATTGTCTTGGGCATCTTGGCTGCTTTTCTGTTCATTTCTGGGTAGGTTTGTAGTTCCATACTCTCCACAACTTTCTTCTTCACCAGAAGACTAAGACTAACATTTCACATGGAAGGACTCTGTTTACTTATTAGGTGACTTCTGAAGGCAGTTGGCTACACTGGATTTTATTTAGGTAAAAGGCTGAATACAAATGTCTGCAACATTTTTCAGGGTTGTCTTTTTTTCTTTTTTTTCTTTTAAAGATAGAAGTGGTTTTGAGTTGTTTTTAAGCAGTATTTATTCTTTTTCCTATTATTTATTGGATCAGTCTTGTTTCTGTTTTACTTGAGTTCAGTCTTTTAGTGATTCTAGTTTTTTATTTATTGTCTAGTTATTCTTTGTTACTCTAGATTTATTAGTTTCTTAGGTCTAGTTTTTATTTGGTGTTGGATTTATTTTATAGTCCTCTGTTTACTCTCCCTTATCCCCTGTACAATTTTCTCTCTCTCTCCTCACACCTGCAACCTGTTTCTCATCATCCATCTGTTTCATGTTCAGTAATCAACCTTCCTATATACAACTTATACTGATGAGAACATTATGGACTTATTGCTGATTCTTCTTGTCTACTCCCATTAGAGTCTGTTGTTTTTCCAACCTGAGGGTATGAATAGTTTTGCGAGTCACTGTGTTCCCTGCCGTTATTTTCCTGTGGATTCCTGTTTTTGGTTTGGCTCTGGCTCCCTGTGTTCCCTGTGGTTTATTTTGCAAGTTGGTCTTTTTTTTTTTTAATTAAAACCTTCTTCATCTACAAGCTGCTTTTGCCTTTCTTTTGAGTCCTCAAAACCACAACATGAACAACAGAAGAGTATGCTGTAGTTTTAAATATATATTTGGTATGAATTAATTCATTTGTCTGTTTGGACAGTTAACGACATATATGCTGGTTTTATTTGATGTTTTATTTTATTTTATTTTTTTATTAATACCAACATATTCACATTCTACTCACTGTGCTGCAACTGGACAATGAGCCTCATCACGTATCGGTCTTATTTTTGTCTGAATGTGCTGCAGAGGAGCAGTTCATCACTGATGAGAACATTGTAGAAGCCCGTGAAGCGTCAGAGGAGGATCTGCTGGTGGTGCACACGAAGCGTTACCTCAGTAGTTTAAAGGTAGCTTCTGTCTCTCTGTCATGGTGATGTGTTTATTTTTCTCCTGCCCCATATCACTGTCAGCTGCATCTCAATAAATCATAATGCCCATATAAAGCTTGGTTGATCCAGTTAAGATCAGACATAAGAATAGAATCATATTTCCACTGTTTATTATTGTTGATTTTGATCTGTGCTGAGCTAGCTTTCATAACTCAGCTTTTATGGCAGCTGGTGACATAAAGCCCGAGAGATGGCTTAAAAGTTGTATTTAATGACTCCTCCCCTTGCTGGCACATACAGTTGAAACCAGAAATGTACATACTCAGAATAAAAATACTAGTGAATATTTTTTCTCTCACTGTCTGAAGTTAAATTAGACCAAACCTTTTTTTTTTTTTTTGCTTTAGGTCTGCTAGAATGGTTAAAATTATTTTTATGTGTTAAGCGTTACAATAATGAGCATGTATTTATAGCCTTTAAAATAGAAGAATTAGTGTATGTAAACAACAAGGGACAGCTCAGGTGATGATGTCACACACGTAAATGTTACAGGAAACTTTTTCTTCTCAATGAAAGATAACTTATTTGGAAAACGGGTCAGGCTCGTTGATTCTTAAGGTGGACAGGGTGTAGCCAGTCACACATTTCCATAAATAGAGGAGTTGTGGAACGACGGCAGCTCCAGCTGGAGATCCCTGCTGATGGAAGGATTCGGAGGGAATGTGTTGAGATCGTATTGATCTGCTGCCACATGCTGGTGAGCAGTTTATCAGGCTTTAGATCGCCCGAAGTGATAATCCTGGAGCTCTGTGTTAAAGAGAGAAACTAGAAGCTGATGACAGATTTTTTACATTTTTATTTTTATTTTTTTTAAATGTGTCCCTATGTCAACTTTTAGTGTGAAAGGTGCACACTCTTTTATACACGAGGCCCCTGCTGCCTATGTGAACTAAGACTGAGCTTACAGGCACACTGTTGTTTTCTTTTGCAGATTGAAATACTCCAGCTAATATTCTGAAAAGTGTTTTTATTTTTTTCTTCATGCTGTTACATGCTTCTCTGTGTTTTCCTTTGTCCTCTCTAGTGGTCTTTTGTGGTGGCAACTATCACTGAAATCCCACCCCTGGTGATTTTACCTAACTGTCTGGTTCAGCAGAGGGTGCTGAGACCTTTACGGACCCAAACAGGAGGAACAATAATGGTTGGTATACATCAGCCTTGTTTACTGTATTATGTTTTTGACTTAGTAATACAATTTCTCACATTTGTTTTTCTTCTTCTCACTCTTATTTGTTGCTGGAATTGATTAAGTTGTGTAACGGTATAATGAAATACATGCATGACTATAAAAACAGGGCCAGAAATCAGCTATGAAAACCAAAAGTGTGTGTGTGTGTGTGTGTGTGTGTGTGTGTGTGTGCGCGTGCGCGTGTGTGTGTGTGTGTGTGTGTGTGTGTGTGTGTGTGTGTGTGGTGTGGGTGTGTGTGTGCTCTCTCTCCAGATTTTTGTTTGTTTGCAGCATAGTACAGGAAACAAGTCTGAAGACACCCTGTTGCTTCTGGCTTTTTCCCTGGACTATCAAACAACACAGCTTGATCAACAGTCCAGATATTGTCCTCATATTCACTAAGTGGACATTTTGTGAACTGATATGCCAGAATAAAACCAGGAGGTGAGAAGATTTACTCACCTCTGAATGCTTCTACTAATGTCACTGACTTGCTTTCCTATAAATCAACTATCAGTTATTTCACCACCGGGACTCTCAGGATATGTCTCATTAAGATCGTTGGATACATTTTAGACTGTTTTTTTTTATGTGTGAAACTCACAAGCGATGTCATTCCTGAATCTAAACTCTGCCTCTCCTGAAGTTAAATTGCCGATTGACTCTTGTTAAAGTGGAGCCTGAGATCCAATCGGAGCGCTCAAACACGGCAGGATTTCCAGCCATGACTGAAAGAAGCTAATCCTTAGCATTCAAATGGGCAGACATCATAACTCTGAAACTGATGTGTCACTGTAGGAAAATAATGACAAGACCTTAACTTTTTAGCACAAAACCTCTGAGCAGTGATGAAATGATTTATGTTTTCAGCCTCTTCTGTCAATGGGAGGACAGTGTACAGGTGACACTGGTGGGGAACTGCTTCATAAATTAATAACATTTGTATTATTAATTAACATCTTGAATGGAGTACCATGTTAATTAGTAAGCAGTTTCCCTTTGGGGATAAATAAAGTATATTTTATATTCTATGTATGCTCCTGTAGCTTCTCCGTTAGTGAAAGTAAACCAGATCTGGAATGCATTGCTTGTCATGTTTCTCACAGTCTTGTGCAATTTTTTTAAAATTGATTTTAATTTAGCTTTTCCCATTCTTGGATGTCAACCCGAAATAAAATGCATCAATCAGGCAGACCTTAATCGCCACAAACATGACTAATTATGGTTGGCTCCCATCCTGTTTGGTCAGAGAAAAATGGCTGTGGAGAAGATTTAGTTGATTTGTGTTGTTGTGCTCATAGTAGATGCAAGAGCAAATGAAAATGAGATCAGATGCGGGGCTTGTTTCTCTCAGACCTCTGCGCTCTCAGTGTGAGGAGTGGTGGAGATTAATCAAATGGCTATTGTAACGTATTCTTGTTTCCCCTCAGTCAAAGTGAAGTGCCTGAGCAATAACCTGGGTGTGAGCGTACATGCTAATAAGTGTTAGTACTCATCCACTGAAGACAATCTCTTCTCATCAGATTTAATACAGCCTTATTCTTGTTTTGTACATAAGGAAAGCACTCTTTCATGTTTAGGAAAGACACTGTGAACTGATAGACAACCTGCAATTCTTTGTGTTTTGCTCAGAAACAGATGTGAGAGAGGTGGAGAGTCAAAAACAACACATTTACATAGCCCATATTTGTGCGCTCGGGTGTGTAACCTAGAGGTTCATTTGGTGAGCATTCATAAGCACTCACAATGAAGAAATAACATTATTGATCATAATGTAAAACCTCTGAAGAAAATTTTCCACCACAGCTCACAAGTCTTTTGTTAATTTGAAATGTGCTTATTCTGTAGCTCAAACGCAAACGCATAAATAACACTGATGTTTTGAATGCTTATAATAAAGGTGATCTGTGACTGAAGACTGACATGGAGTGAAATTAAATTAAATGAGTGGAATCCGGACTCAGAGTGGCTTCAATTCCCCACCTCAACCTCTGCGTTACCAGATCCCTCCAGCGTGAGTGTGGGCTAGGGTTTGTGTTTAGGACTTAAGTTAAATATAAAACTTAACAGGAGACCAAGTGCTCTCCTGTTAAGTTATATATATATATATATATGTAATGTATATACAAAGACCATAACCTCTAGGTAGAATGTGACATATGCCATTTTCCCGGCCCGTTTTGTGCATATGCCACATTTATAAATGTAGCCTACATCTGTTGATTTTTGGCCTTGTGCAGTCATCCATTTATACCAGCAGGTGGCATGGTCTATCACAAGAAAAAATAAATTACCAACTACACCAAAGGGAATTTTACTGTACTGCATCTATGCCACAAAATGGTCATTTTGTACAACTTTTAGATGAGATCAAAGTATTAGCTTAGCTCTCCCTTTCTATTTCTTCACTTACATTTCTCTGCAGAAAAGCCAATCTGTTGAGAAATTGATGGCAAGTCAATATTTTATTGTGGTATTTATTTATTTAGTTTTTGCTGTGGAAAACTCAAGAAAACTTGATCTCACCATACAAACACAACCATATGAGCACAATATCCTCCCAGCGCTCAGGAAGCTGTATCCATTTCTTCAAACATTTGGTTAATTTTGGCAGTGAGCTCACTGTAAACTCCATCATTTTATTGCAGTGCATTGTGACTGCCATCTGAAAACTATCACATTGATTATGAACTGCTGGTGAGATTATAAAAGTGTGTTTTGCAAAAATACATCCGATAAGCTTGCCAAATTGGCAGACGTGCGAGTGTTTCAGGCAGGACGTTTCTGAAACCCATAGCCACAGGACGACGTAGTTGGGTGCAGCATGCAGTGTCGCTCTTGGCCATTCTGAGGCCAGAGGCAAACCTCTTTTGTTTCGCTTTTCTGGTTTCTGCAAGGGAGTTATCAAGAAAATAGTCACTCACACACAGAGGTGGATGAGTGCACCAAAAAAACTGGTCTAGCAACAGAAGCAGGTAGCAAACGTGTTTTTGCGAACAGAGAGCTGATATCAAGACGGAGCAGTTAGCAGGAAAGCAAGGACTTCCTTGCTTTCCTGCTAGAAAGTCCTGGGTTCAAATCCCAACCTGGGTCCTTTTTGTGTCTCTAAACTACCCTCAGGTATGGGTTTACGGGGACTGTTGTCTCTCTCTGTGTTGCCATGTAATGGTCCTGCTTAAGCTATAAGTGGGATCCCAGCTAATGGACATGGGCAATAGTCCCTCCTGATCCTGCCAGGATAAGTAGGTATATAGATAATTGAAGGGAAAGACAGATGTGTTATGTATACTGATCTAATTTTCTTCCGCAGGCCGGAAAGCTGGCTGTAGAGCGAGGATGGGCCATAAATGTAGGTGAGTTTTCAGCCATATGTACTTAAAATGGCATCGTACCAACCTAAGAATCACTGTGGCATGTGCATTAAGCAGTTATCTCATTTGTGATTTTTTTTTTCACAAGATCACAGCGAAACCTTACCTTCGACATAAAAAATGATAATGAACTTAATTGTATTATTTATTTAATTCGTTGAAAGAATTGTGCCTGAGGCCTAAAATTAAAAAGTAAATTTATTACTACAGAGAAGGTGGATGGCAGAGGTTTCTGAGATATTCTGTGTGCTGTTGTTCCACTGACAGCCATTTTAAGACTATTAGCTTTATAGTCGCATTGAGAGATGGGAGTGAAAAGTGTGTTTGAACTGTCATGGGATCTCACTTCTCGGCTTCCCTGGAAAAACGTTCCCTGTGCCTGACATCAGAGGTCTTGAAAGCAGAGGTCACAAAGGTACTGCTGGGGCATCAGGAGATTTCTGATCAGATACTTTTTATCTCTAACGAACTTCAACATGAACCCAACATATAACAAAGGGGTGAAAGGAGGCGTAAAAATCACATATGCACCCATACAGATATAAGCGCTGTCCAATATGTTAACATGTTCTTCAGCCATCGCTTTTGTATTTCAACTTGCTTAAAATAAAAACTTTAAATACGATTTACACTGAGTGCACAGTAATAAAGCATGTTTTAGGTGATACCAACTCTCTTTTAATTTACACTATGTGTATCCCACGACTGCCAAAGTTTGGTTTCAGGAGGAAACTGTTGCTTTCCAGCTGTGCAACAGTGGAGCAGAACACTCTCCTTTTTTTGTTTGTAGCAATCGATGCATCTTCAGCTAATAATACTTCTAACATCAATATGTGAAAGACTCAGTCCTTCCTGCTTGACTTGACAGTAGTACAATGTAGGACTGATCGGGTGACTATGTTTTTGACGAACCACTTACTAATTGGATAGGTCAAAGATTTTACACTCCATTTAATGTTTTATTTTCAATAAATTGACTATTATTTCAACAATTGAATAAATAAAGTATTTTGTGTCATCAGTGAAGTTGCACTGTGAAATGATTACCCTGGCTCTGTTTCATCAGGGGGAGGCTTCCACCACTGCTCCGGTGACAAGGGAGGTGGCTTCTGCGCCTATGCTGACATCACACTGGCCATCAAGGCAAGCTGTGCTTGTTTTATCACAACGATGGCAGTGATTCTCTGTCACGTCCAGCTGTGAACCATTTTATCTGAGAAAGTCATTGGAACTTTGAGTCATTGTCATGGAGCCAAACAGAAGTAGAAGATGAAACGCATAAAAAGAAATTGAGCTAACTACAGCGGTTTAACAGCTTCATTTTGATTGGTTGTTAAATGGTTTTGCTGTGGCGTTTCACAAAGTTGTATACTAATTTAAATTATTTGTTATTATTATTATTATAATTATTAAAGTAATTATACTTCCAGCATAATTACTTTCTGCTTAATTTTTTCTTTTAAGATATTTTACAACAGCCAGTGAATATGCAAAATTTTTCTTGTTCCTGTAATCAAATGTGCAGACAATTTTTGCAGATTGTGTGCAACACGTCCACTTATTGTGTATTCAACATTTTTCACTTCACTCTGCTCCTTATTTGGAATATTTATTGCTCTGGCCCTAAGTATGATGATTCTATATAACCTATGAGTTTCACTCTCTGAGATGACTGGCAAGAAATATTGTACATTACATATTAAAATATATATACATATAATATTGCACTTTTTTTAGACTTGCTAGTTGTCCATCCATACATTCATATGTCCATTCATACAAAATATTAATAACGGAATTCATAATTACATGTGGTTATTGAAAACTGATGTCATTTGCCAACAATAAGGTTTTTTGTCAATCACTAATCAATCAGTTAAATAATATTGAATGAGACAGGATTGACTTCTGGGTACCAGTTTTCACTGAAATTGTGCCTTTATATGAGCATTAATTATCACAACTATGAATGTCATATTTACCAGGTGAAATTAGGAAATACTTATCTGTTGGTTTGAGATACATAGGACTTTATGGTCTTATTGGGAAAGCCAAAAAATTTAATGTTTACACTGAAAACTTCCAAATCCTCAACCAAATTAGAATATTGTCTGTCGTTCCTGTAGGTGAGTGGAAGACGGATGACTGAAATGCTTGTATGAAACTGACCACGCTTGAAACGGAAATGAACTATATTTTACTTTTCTTTGCTCAGTTTCTCTTTGAGAGAGTGGAAGGCATCTCCAGAGCCACCATCATTGACCTTGATGCTCATCAGGTGAGCCAATATACTACTCTCACCCTCTCATTATGGATATTTTCCAAACTATTAACGGGTTCATTTCTTTCAAAATCCGTTTTCTTAAACATAAGAAGTATGTTTAGATCACCAGGTGAAAAGCAGTTGTACGGGATGCCAAAAGGGACATTATTCAGAATTAGCTTCCGTAAATGCATATGAAACCACATCTGCGTAAAAATTACAATAATTGGTGAAGATTGCAAGCCTGCCCAAAATTTGCAACTTATGACTGAATTTGTAAAGGTAGTTGGATTTATTATTAATATATCAATTAATTCCTCAATAATCTCTCTTTTTGACCAAAAATTGGATGATATGTGTTTGAAAAACAATTTTGTTTACAGAGACTCAATAATTACTTTTTTTGTTATTGTTATTGTTTTCTGTTTCTATTATTTTAGGGAGCAGCTAAGCGCTGCGAAGGCCTTGTTTTCCTACTGTTTCTTATTATTAGTTAAAGAGGGGCCTTTTTGGGGGCTTTATCATTTTCAAAAACTCACCAAACTTGGCGGACGAGTAAAGGGAGTTTCAAAATTTGTATTTTAAGGTCATTGCAAAAATCCCATAAAAAAATGGCTCAATAGCGCCACCTACAAATTTTCAAAGGGACCCTTTGCTATTCATTACTTTATCCTAGAGACATGAAATTTGGTACACTTGTAGAGCTCCCCAAGATGCTCAAAATTTACAATTAATGTCATAGTGCAAGTATCACAGGAAGTCAGCCATTTTGGATTGAAGGTCCAATTTTTGGGGCCATTTTTGCCGTTTACAGCCTTCGTATTTGATCGAACTCCTCCTAGGGATTTCGATTGATCGGCTTCAACTCAGTCAGTCTGTTTATAAAGCATGTCTCATCTAAAGTTATCAAAAACGGTGAGTTTTGAGTATGCTGAAGGGGGGTTAGCAGGGGGTCAAAGTTCACCTACTCGCCATAAAAACATAAAACTGCTATATCTCCTACACAGAAATTCACAGAGGCACCAAGTTTCTGTGATTTATCATCATCGGGTGTCCTACAATACCTAATGGTCGAATGATGACATCACTTAGGCCACGCCCCCTGAGAACAGGAAGGTAATGTTTTACTGTGAACGGTCGCTATCTGACCCCTTTGACCTCATCAACATGAAACTGTGCCCCAGACACAGAAGGACATGTTGGTGTGTTGAGGATTCCAACCACGACCAGATTCATGGAGCAGGTGGGCGTGGCGGCGTGGCGAAGTGACCTCTAACGCCATCGCCATACGTTTGGCTCTCAATTCCACATTTTCGGCCCAGCTGCTCCAAACTCACAAGGATGGACCCTCATCCACTCCCCAACAGGAATCCATCACAATATTTGTGGGGCGTGGCCTAATTTCTCTATAGCGCCCCTAGAAAAATTTTAAATGATCAGCCCCAAGCCATGCTTTAACCTACAATTACGAAACGTTGTACACATGTGTACCTTGTCAGGACTTACAAAAAAGTCTCTTGGAGCCATGGGTCTAAACCCCACAGGAAGTCGGCCATTTTAGATTGAAGTTCAGATTTTTGACCCCATTTTTGCCGTTTACAGCCTCCGTATTTGATCGAACTCCTCCTAGGGATTTGATTGATCGTCTTCAAACTCGGTCAGTCCGTTAATAAGGCATGTCCCATCTGAAGTTATCAAAACGGTGAGTTTTGAGAATGCTGAAAGGGGGTTAGCAGGGGTCAAAGTTCACCTACACGCCATAAAAACATAAACTGCTATATTTCCTACACAGAAACTCACAGAGGCACCAAAGTTACTGTGATTGATCATCATCGGGTGTCCTACAATACCCTATGGTCGAATGATGACATCACTTAGGCCACGCCCCCTGAGAAAAGGAAGTGTCATGTTTTACTCTGAAAGGTCGCTATCTGACCCCTTTGACCTCATCAACATGAAACTGTGCCCAGACACAGAAGACATGTTGGTGTGTTGAGGATTCCAACCCCGACCAGCTTCGATGGAGCAGGTGGGCGTGGCGAAGTGACCTGTAACGCCATCGCCATACGTTTGGCTCTCAATTCCACATTTTTGGGCACAGCTGCTCCAAACTCACAAGGATGGATCTTCATCCACTCCCCGACAGGAATCCATCACAATATTTGTAGGGTGTGGCCTAATTTCTCTATAGCGCCCCCTAGAAAATTTTAAATGATCAGCCCCAAGCCATGCTTTAGCCTACAATTACGAAACTTTGTACACGTGTGTACCATGTCAGGACTTACAAAAAAGTCTCTTGGAGCCATGGTCTAAACCCAGAGGAAGTCGGCCATTTTAGATTGAAGTTCAGATTTTGATCCTATTTTTGGTGTTTATAAACCATTTCAGTAATTCGCCACTTGGGGTCAGTATTGCTCCACAAATGAAACAGCAGATAAACAGGATGAAGAACAATATCAGTATTTCGCCAGTAGGTGTCAGTGTTCCTCCACCGATGATAAACAGATCCATGGGCGGATGGGCGCGAAACTTTGTGAGAGCGTTGCCATGAAATTTCTAAAAGGATAGAAATGTCTCAGATAATTTTTGTTGAATTAAATCATGCAGTAAATGTAGCGTTTTCTTACTTCTTACAAACCATTTCAGTAATTCGCCACTCTGAGTAAGAATTACTCCAACAATGAAATAGAGTGCTTTAGAAACACAGCTGAAAATGATGAAAAATGACGAACTGTAGTACTTCGCCATGTGCATATGATCGGCTGTAAATTACACGTGGATCTTCCGACTGACGCCAAATTGGATACGTATGACCTTTGTTGACCTCTAAAGAGAACAACAGCATTGAAATATATTTTGGCTCCACTGCGCGTCCTACATTAATCCGCCAGCTATATTTCCTCGCTAAACCAATGAATCTGCACCACATTTTTTGCATCGTCAAGGAGCGCCTCCAAACGCATCAGTGCGTACGGCCTGGTGGACGGGCGTGGAAACTGCGCAACAACTTCTGTGTTAGCACGTGGCCAGCGTTGATGGAAACTGAGCAACAGCTTCCGCGGTGCGGGCGGAGGAGCTGAAAACTGCGTGAGAGCTTCTGTGGTGGCTGACGTGAGGCGACGGTTGCTAGTACCCCCGCGGTGGCAATAGGCCGGAGCGGCGCTTGGCTGCGAGGGCCGTTCGAGGCTGCTTGCAGCTTTAATTATTATTATTCTTCTCACCCAAATGAATTGGCTTTTTGGGGGCTTTATCATATTCAAAAACTCACCAAACTTGGCGGAGGGCTTAAGCCTGTTTCAAATTTACGTATTTTAAAGTCGTCGCAAAATCCCACAAGAAATGGCTCAATAGCGCCACCTAGAAAATTTTCAAAGGACCCTTTGCTATTCACTTACTTTATCCTAGAGACATGAAATTTGGTACACTTGTAGAGCTCCCCAAGATGCTCAAAATTTACAATTAATGTCATAGTGCAAGTATCACAGGAAGTCGGCCATTTTGGATTGAAGGTCCAATTTTGATGCCATTTTGCCGTTTACAGCCTCCGTATTTCATCGAACTCCTCCTAGGGATTTCCATTGACCGGCTTCAACTCGGTCAGTCTGTTCATAAGGCATGTCCCATCTAAAGTTATCAAAACGGTGAGTTCTTGAGTATGCTGAAGGGGGGTTAGCAGGGTCAAAGTTCACCTACTCGCCGTAAAAAAAAATAAACTGCTATATCTCCTACACAGAAACTCACAGAGGCACCAAAGTTACTGTGATTGATCATCATCGGCTGCCCTACAATACCCTATGGTCGAATGATGACATCACTTAGGCCACGCCCCCTGAGAACAGGAAGTGTAATGTTTTACTGTGAACGGTCGCTCTCTGACCCCTTTGACCTCATCAACATGAAACTGTGCCAAGACACAGAAAACATGTTGGTGTATTGAGGATTCCAACCCCGACCAGCTTCGATGGAGCAGATGGGCGTGGCGGGTGGCGAAGTGACCTGTAACGCCATCGCCATACGTTTGGCTCTCAATTCCACATTTTTAGGCCCAGCTGCTCCAATTTCACAAAGATGGATCCTCATCCACTCCCCGACAGGAATCCATCACAATATTTGGTGGGCGTGGCATAATTTCTCTATAGCGCCCCCTAGAAAACTTTAAATGATCAGCCCCAAGCCATGCTTTAACCTACAATTACGAAACTTTGTACACGTGTGTACCTTGTCAGGACTTACAAAAAAGTCTCTTGGAGCCATGGTCTAAACCCCACAGGAAGTCGGCCATTTTGGATTGAAGTTCGGATTTTGACCCATTTTTGCAGTTTGCAGCCTTTGTATTTGATCGAACTCCTCTCAGGGATTTCGATTGATCGGCTTCAAACTCAGTCAGTCTGTTTATAAACATGTCCCATCTAAAGTTATCAAAACGGTGAGTTTTTCAGTATGCTGAAGGGGGGTTGGCAGGGGTCAAAGTTCACCTACTCCCCATAAAAAATAAACTGCTATATCTCCTACACAGAAACTCACAAAGGCACAAAGTTTCAGTGATTGATCATCATCGGTGTCCTACAATACCTTATGGTCGAATGATGACATCACTTAGGCCACGCCCCCTGAGAACAGGAAGTGTCATGTTTTACTGTGAACGGTCGCTATCTGAACCTTTTGACCTCATCAACTTGAAACTGTGACCAGACACCGAAGACATGTTGGTGTATTGAGGATTTCAACCCCGACCAGCTTCAATGGAGCAGCTGGCGTGGCGCCGTGGCGAAGTGACCTGTAACGCCATCGCCATACGTTTGGCTCTCAATTCCACATTTTTGGGCCCAGCTGCTCCAAACTCACAAGGATGGATCTTCATCCTTTCCCCGACAGAAATCCATCACAATATTTGTAGGGTGTGGCCTAATTTCTCTATAGCGAACCCCTAGAAAATTTTAAATGATCAGCCCCAAGCCATGCTTTAACCTACAATTACGAAACTTTGTACACGTGTGTACCATGTCAGGACTTACAAGAAAGTCTTGGAGCCATGGTCTAAACCCCAGAGGAAGTCGGCCATTTTAGATTGAAGTTCAGATTTTGATCCCATTTTTGGCGTTTATAAACCATTTCAGTAATTCGCCACTTGGGGTCAGTATTGCTCCACAAATGAAACAGCAGATAATCAGGATGAAGAACAATATCAGTATTTCGCCAGTAGGTGTCAGTGTTCCTCCACCGATGATAAACAGATCCACGGGCGGATGGGCGTGAAAACTTTGTGAGTGTGTTGCCATGACATTTCTAAAAGGATAGAAATGTCTCAGATAATTTTTGTTGAATTAAATCATGCAGTAAATGTAGCGTTTTCTTACTTCTTACAAACCATTTCAGTAATTCGCCACTCTGAGTAAGTATTACTCCAACAATGAAATAGAGTGCTTTAGAAACACAGCTGAAAATGATGAAAAATGACGAACTGTAGTACTTCGCTATGTGCATATGATCGGCTGTAAATTACACGTGGATCTTCCGACTGACGCCAAATTGGATACGTATGACCTTTGTTGACCTCTAAAGAGAACAACAGCATTGAAATATATTTTGACTCCACTGCGCGTCCTACATTAATCCGCCAGCTATATTTCCTCGCTAAAGCAATGAATCTATACCACATTTTTTTGCATCGTCAAGGATAGCCGCCGAACGCATAGATGCGTACCGCCTGGTGGACGGGCGCGGAAACTGCGCAACAACTTCTGTCTTAGCACGTGCGCAGCTTTGATGAAAACTGAGCAACAGCTTCCGCGGTGCGGGCGGAGGAGCTGAAAACTGCGTGAGAGCTTCTGTGGTGGCTGGCGTGAGGCGGCGGTTGCTCGTACCCTGCGGTGGACTAGGCCGGAGCGGCGCTTGGCTGCGAGGGCCGTTCGAGGCTGCTTGCAGCTTAATTGTTTCTGTTTCTTTAATTTGGATATTTAAAATGTCTGTAGTTGTTAAACGTTCATTAGAAATTAAAGTTTATTGATCTTTGAAAATGTGTTCTTGCATTATTATTGTTATGCCATAATTACCATTATATTTCTTGAAAATTGTCACAGAACAACAATATTATTGTTTATCACAATAACTTCAATTTATTGCCCAACAAAATTTGTTAGGTCTAGTTAGAGTCACAACTTCCTGAAGGGACTGTCCAGGTGAGTCAGACAGGAATCTGGAACGTAGTTGTCAAAAAGCCAAATAATAATTAATGATTTAATGTGTTGACTGAACTGGGTTTGGAACTGGTCTCACAGGGAAATGGACACGAGCGAGACTTTTTGGGCGACACCAGAGTGTTCATAATGGACATGTATAATCACAACATCTATCCCGGGGACGGATATGCCAAACGTAAGTGAAAGAGTGAATAACTTTCTTCTCAAATTAGATTTTTCTTTCTCATAATCTAAGTCTCACATATGGCCTTAACTCACTGCTGGCCAGGAAACGCATCGTTCTGCGTCTCCAGCTCTGCTTTGGGTAGAGGTTGAGCTGGAGGCCTTTTGTCTGTCTTGACATCGCCGGGTGTCGTCGTAATTCTGACTCAAGACACAGTAACTCCAGCCAAGGATTCTGTACAACACAAGACTCCCATCTTTTTGAAGATGACTAAAGATACACATGAGCAGTTTCTGTCCATATCTCAATTCTTTTGACATGCAGTTATCGTCTCTGAAACTAATCAAAGCCTCTTTTCTGCCTTCAGTAAGGCAAAACATCAATGCATCCTGGGTTGTTGAAGATAAGCTGCAGGGCAACATTCTGTTTATTTTCATCAAAGACAAATCTGATTTAATGAAGAGCTATTTTACTTTCTAAAAACAAAGGGGAATTGTATTTGTTACTGTTCTTTAATGCATTTGAAGTTGCATTTATTTGAAGATTAAAACAACAAAGCCTTGTAATGCTTTTGGTTGTTCTAAAGTTACTTTAAAAATAATGAAGACATCCATTAGTTGGTTGACTTTTTTCTATGTATCGAAGTGAGTAATCTACTTGACCCCTGCAGTAGTCTTCCAGCATTACATGGACAATAAAAAAGAAGATGCTTGCTTAACTGTCTCTTTTACTATTATTAAAGAGTTATTTCAGTTAATTTTCTCACTGTTCTAGTATCCACAGATCAGCTGTGGGCAAATGTAGAGTGAAGCACTTTGGGGTCCTCTGGACTTGGTAAAGCTCTATGTAGGTGCAGGCCACTTACTATTGTTTATCTTCAGGAGCCATAAAGAGGAAGGTGGAGCTGGACTGGGGCACTGAAGACTCAGAGTACCTTCAGAAGGTGGAGCTTCACTCTGAGGGAGCGCTGAACGAGGTTCGTCCTGATGTCATTGTCTATAATGCAGGGACAGACATCTTGGACGGGGATCTCCTCGGAGGCCTCTCCATATCTCCACAGGTACGCTGCATTCTCTGACGGCTATCTCTTAGTTTTTACAGACGAGGCTGTAGTTTCAGGTCGGGCTCCTGCAGTTGTTTCATTAGTTTATTCTTTGTGGTTTTAATGACCTTCTGTGTTTGTTTGAATTTTCCTTCTTGGATGAAAAAACATGTTTGTCTGACCAAGTTAAAACAGACAAATGTTCAAAGCTCAGGGTAAGGAAGGATTTTGAGCTTTTTACTCAAAAAAAATTCTAGATATATATTTTACTTGTTTTATGCACCTATAGCACTACTCGATTTTTGCCCCCTTACCTCATCTCCTATTTGTCAAACTTACGTGTCTCAGAACATCAAACTAATTTGAATATTCCTCAAAGACATTATGTGGTTCCACTGTCCTTGTAAGACAAAAGTACTTTACCAAATCAATTTTAAAATATTAATGAGCACTGATCCACATTTCATTTTAGATTTATTGGATCCTATGAGCAGACTTCCACATATGAGAACAATATTAAAATATTGCAGAATATCTTAGCAGTTTCTAAATACACAGTTAATTTGTCAAATAGGCTGATAAATGGCATCAAAAAAGAAGTGCAGCTCTTACAATATTGTCAGAAGTTTTACTCAGGCATATGTTCCTGCTACACATTTTGATGTTTGAAATCCCTCACTGCAGGGGCAACATTTGCTGTCAATAAATTAGGTTTAGAGTCGAGCTGTTCCCTCCCGGAGTCCCCTGGCGCAGACAGATGCGTTTCCAATCAGTGGCTTCCTGTCGGGGTCAGTCAGGCTATCTCCAGGCTTCCGCTCTGTCCCCATGGCTTTGAAGGTCTGAGGGCTTACAGAGACTGACAGCTTCTTCTGCTTTCTTCTTCCCAGGGCATTGTGAAAAGGGACGAGATTGTGTTCAGGGCCGCAAAGCAACGAGGTATTCCCATCCTGATGGTGACGTCAGGAGGGTACCAGAAGAAAACGGCACGGATTATCGCTGACTCCATCCTTAACTTACGTCAGCAGGGTCTGATTGGAGCCAAAGCTCTGGAGAGGGAGGGATTGTCACAACTGGTGACCCACTTGACCCAAAGCTCTGGTTCTGCAGGATCAGCACACACTGCTGTGTGAGGATGGGTGGACTATAAGCTAACAATCTTGAAATGCACTGATTTAACTTTATGGTGTGTATTTTGTTTTTCTTCAGAGATTAATTATGATATTCTGTATGTTCGGAATCTATGAAAGCTCCACAATGAGTTTTTGCACATACACAATGACAGTGTAAATGTTTGACAAACTTGTACATTTTGTGTCATTTTATGAAGGTCTAAAGGAAAAATAGTAAATCGGTAACTTTCAATAGAATTCATAAGCATGTGCCATTACTTGTGTTTGTTGTGTGTTTGGTGGCAAATCATTGAGAGGGAGTCTGTGGTCTCAGGAAATCAACAACAAAAAACCATATAATAATATTGTTAGACTCAGTTAAAAGCAATAATTGTGGAAGCATCTTGTTTGTTGTTATGAGGGTAAAAAGGTTTTTCACACTGTGACTGCAATAGTTAATATAACTTTAACCAGGGATGGAGTCCAGACAGGTTCTTCTAAGCCCTAAACTAAGCCGAATGTTTCGGACTTCCATCAATGTTTCAGGACATTGTTTTGTTGCACCATCAAATGCAATGGAAAACGGCTAATTACACAAGCAAAACTACCTATTGGAATTAAACTGCTAATTATCATAACATACAAATCATTACTGTTGCTCTTGTTTATCCAATGCAGTGGAAGAAAGATGACTGTAATCAGAGAGGTGTTGTTTATACAAGTCCAACTGCTCCAATGTGTGGAGTCTGTAAGCAGGAAGAGCGATTGGTGGTCAGCTGTTTTATATCAGCTATAGCTCCCAATATGCAAACACAACCTCCACGTGCGATTAGCCTCATTCCTAATCGACGTCGTCATTAACTTTACATTCTAACACGGTATTTAAAAGTTGTCCAGCCTCTGTCGGTCCACATGAATTCACTTCCTGACGCAATGTTTAATTCCATTGGCAATCCTCCAAATTGCCAATCGCAATTTGGAGGATTGCGATTGGCTGACATATTGACCCTGCTCTGCCCCCTATGGGTTTGACATGTTTAAAACACCGCACAGTGGTGTGATTGCGCGGGCTTGTGTAAGAATTAACACAGTTCTTACATCAATCAAGTGTGGATGAGATTGTTTTGTAAAAATGAATATCTTTGCTGCCTTAATTTAAACGGTTAAACGGTGTTGCACTAGGGTTGCTGTGTCTTTGTGCACTTTTGCCCAAAGATTGATATAAGTTAGAAATGAAGGCACTTGTATGTATTTTCCCTTGTGTCACTAGATGTCCCTTCGCATGGATAAAATTTACAAGTGCTTGCGAACACACAGACGCTCTTTGAAATTGAAGAACCAACATAGTTAACAACCACAGGCAGCAGGATTTTACCAACTAGAACGGTGTGTTATTTTTCTGCACTCTGATCATGTTGCTTTTCTCTCACATCCAGCTTATTGTGCGTCTGTGGGCGAAGATAAAAGGGAGTTCAGATTTTGTAATTGTGACAAAAACTAATTGGTCTCGAACCAGCCATGACCCAGTTGGTCGAACAAGAACAACACCAAAACTGATCCAAGGGCCAGGAAAAAAACCAAACAGTCGAGGCCGGTCTTAGCAGTCCATCCCTGATTGTAACATTTAACTCTCACTAACAGTTTCATTTCTGAGAAATATTCAAATACTTTTATTCCTTTGTTTTTAAAATACCGGTGTTTCATTATGAATATAATGTTTGTTTTTTCGATTTTTTACACTTTCTGTTGTCCAAATCAGCTGCTATATCTATATAAAATATTTAACTCTGGAAAACATTTAATATATTAAATTTAACATGAAATGAATCAGTGTCACTTGTTTGTATCTTTGATTTATGGACTGATCACCTGTGAGCGATCAATATATTGTATATAAGCTAAAAAAGTGAGACACTTCAGATTATGATTGTTCAAATTTGGGGCTTTATTTTGTCCATTGCGTTTTATTTTTCAAATAATGTCTATTAATCACTTTATTAAGTGAACATATTGTTGAATGGCTTCACAAAATATGATTTTATGGTAATACTTTTAATAAAGTAGTGAACAGTTGAAAATATATATCCTACTTTTATTTATTTAAATTAAGTATCTAACTCGCTTTCAGCATACAGCAGAGATCTGATTGGTCCATCAAGATCGCTACTTTTCCCCTTTGGGTCACAGACGCCTGGAAAAACAAAAGAACAAGAATACTTTTAATAGGAAAAAATTGGAGTATTAAACAAAATATCTAGTAAAGTAATTCATGTTTTCCGAAGGCAGCAAAATGGAGAAGAGTCCTCAACGTGAAAGTTATTTCAAAATCAAAGCTCTAGGAGCAGATTCTGATAAATAAGCTGCCTATTGCACCTTCTGCACCGGACATTATGCTTTGCTGCATGTCACTGAAGCGGGATTTCAGAATGTCAAAAATCTTCTCCAGAACCAGGGATGATGATTTGCTGAGAGAAAAGCTTTTGCCTTCTCCTACTTCCTGCTGGATTTTGTCCCACGGTGTGAAGAGGAACACATTGAGGGGATCTGCTGTCCAGATGGGGAGAAATCACTTGAGCTGTTCCTTCACACACACACACACACACACACACACACACACACACACACACACACACACACGCACACGCACACACACAGCTCCCTACAGCAGCAGAGAGCATGGAGGCTGACTGGGATGGCACTGTAAATGGTACAATCCCAGTAAAAACAAGGTACCACCTGCTGAGTTTGGGCTTTAAATGCAAAACAAATAGTCGTTTCTTTGCAGATTCTAAAATCATTTCATTCTAACCTCAAATGAGCAAAAACACACTGTGATTTCCATCACGTCAACATGAAACAAAACTGAAGTCCTGACCAGCCAGCATCTTCACCAGGTCTTTGGCTCTAGTTCTGGGGTCAATCTGCACATCTTGGACCAAAAGACATCCATCTCCTGGACACAGAATCCGTCTCCTTCCTGATCTGTGTGACGGCTGGACATTCCCATCATGCCTGCACTTGCCTGAACAGATGAACCTTCAAGCATCTAGAAATTGTTCCCCAGGATGAACCTGAACGGTCCTGTTTTCCTCCTGCTGTCTTGGCTGATTTCTTTGGACCTTCCCATCATATCAAACAAGATGGCCGTGAATCACATCCACAGGTTCTCCTCCAATTACCTCAGTTGGGTCAGGTAACCAGTCGGAGGTTTGTGTCAGGGAAGCCCAAAAGATCTGACCCAACCAATACATTTTAAGAGACACTTGTCCAAATCAACTTTTGAATTCAAGGAAAGTTACACACACACAAAAAAAAAAATCTCCATAAAACGTTTTCAGGCATTTAGGAAACAGAAACCAATTGGATCACTCCAACTGGCCTAAAACAAAGAGAGGTGTATTTCAGTGTCCGAGTCCTGTTCATGTGTGGATTGTGAACATCTGCTTTCTGCCGATTGAACGTCAGCGGAAAGAGACGAGCGGTGAAAACCGTTCAGTGACTCTGGCAGCAGTCAGAGGAGCCGCAGCAGCGCAGCGACGCGCAGTCTGCTCCTCATTACGGCTCTCCGCCGGGACACACTTCCCGTCCCTCCCCCTGGTCTGCGAGCCTCCTCGGGTTTCCAGAGGCCGGCAGAGGACGAGCTGGAAGCGGCTCATCACAAGGCGGCGACCGGCGGGGCTGGAGGGAGGAACTTCTACCGGACTCTCGGTGCCGCGGCGTTTCACTCCACATGGTGGCTCTTTCTGAGCAGCACACGGTGAGTCGAGACTCGTTAGCGGTGCGTCGCGCGCAGCGTGAGTCGCCGACGTTCGTCGACTGAAATGCAACGTTGACGTCGCGTTTGTGGACGGAGACGAGTCTCCGTTAGAAGCCCGGACTGTCGCTTTTTTCTCCTGACGTTTCAGGACGAGCCTGAAATGGACTTTACAAAAAAAAAGAAAAAAAAAAAAAAAAAAGCCTCTGAACGTCTCAGTCTGAAAAGTTGTCCAGAAGTGTTCCGGACAACTTTCTGTCCTCAGACGAGCTTCACAGCAGGTGTAGAGGAAGAAGAAGTGGTCAGTTTCCTCAGAGAAAACTGAGGATAATCCGAGCCAAACTAGCTGTAAGCAGAAAGTGAAGGTTTGAGAGTAGAACTGCTTTAGGATAATGTTTTTGCTCAAGTAAAAGTCAAAATTGGCTGTTCAAGAAATCACTCAAGACAGAGTAAAAAAAATAGTATTTGGGCAGGAAAGTAAAAATACCAATCACTTAATATTTTTTTAAAATGACATCATCAGATTTATGTGGAATAACTTCTGGCAAGAGTGGACTTGTTAACACACATCTTCTCCATTTTGGGTTTTTGACAGATGATCCACTTTAAATTATAAATGACTTCCTTTCCTTTGCCGTTTTCTGCAGAGGAAGGGCAAAATGCTCTGACGTTTCTGAAGGAACCTTGAGAGTCCAGAGAAGGATCACCCTCTCTCCGCTGAGCCGTCCAGCCTTTCCCAGCTGTCATGGCCAAGGCAGAAGTAGTGTTGTTGAGGTGCGCCTTGCTGCTTCTCTTCCCGCCCGGCACCTTAAGCCAGCGCGACTGCTCCGGTGTGGACTGTCCCCCGTTAGAAAACTGCATCAAAGAAGCGCCGGGGAGCGATGGGTGTTGTGCTTCGTGCTTGCAGAAAGGATGTAGGTGTGAGGGTTACCAGTTCTATGACTGCACCCATGCCGGGTTCAAGAACGGCATTGTCCCTGAAGGACAGTCCTACTTTGTGGACTACGGCAGCACCGAGTGCTCCTGCCCTGTCGGAGGTGGACCCATCAGCTGCAGCTACATCGGTTGTCCGGATTTGCCACCAAACTGCATTGAGACTTTGGAGCCTGAGGACGGTTGCCAGCAGTGTCAACGCATTGGATGTGTTCACAGAGGGGAGAAGTATGAGGCAGGACATTCAGTCCATGTTGAAGCCTGTAGGGTCTGCCACTGTCCTGTTGAAGGAGGGAAGCTCATGTGCTACCCTAATCTCGATTGCGATCCTCAATTGACATCGATTACTGATGACAATGCATCCAACGGACGAGATGGCTTCCTCACCAGATTCGATCAGCTCTCTGCGTCGTATAACCGTCCTTCCAGTGGGAGTCTTCCTCATTTCATACTGTCACCAAGTGACGATGACGAGCTAGAGGAATATGATTACAACCATGGAGACTTCTCGGAGGCGTATGTGGATTTATTTGCTCCACCCACCCAGCCGTTCATTTTTTCCAATAAAGTTGCTTCGTTAGGCTCTGAGAGATCTGAAAGAACTTCTTCCCTCCTGGGTTTAGACGTTCCCAAAAAGATGGAACTGAGAGAGCAATATGGAGTTCATCCTCATCTGGCAGAACCAGTAGTGACACAAGTTCCCTCTGCTGCTGAGCAGAGCACTGCCAGCCCATCCATAAATCCAACTGCTTCTTGGCAGGATCTCCAATACACTCAAACTCCTTCAGGCAGAGGTGGAGATTCTCACACAAAATTGGAATACCCACTTTATGCACAACCAAGTCTGGGAAGTGTTGCACTTCCAGTGAACAACCTAAATAATGTTGAGGAGAATTCAGGAGCAGACCTTCATCATCAGAGGAGCTCCAACATGGAGGTTCATTCCCATAATGCGTCAGGTGGTGTAACTCCCAAGAGTTCAGTCAATCATCCAATGAGGGGTACAGAGAATATTTCTGACCAGAAAGCGGTGGAGTTTCCCCTCTTCACGCTGAAAAACACCCCAGACGATGCAAACTCAAGAATGCATTTTTCCGAAGAACTCCATGAACCAAAAGGCGAGGATTGGTTTAATCAAGAAGGACGAGAACCTCTCCCAGGAACCGTAGACTCGGATAGGACGACGCAATACAAGAAAAGCCACAGCAGTTTCGAGTCTAGCAGTCCGCCGCAGGGTAATCCTGAGTATCAGCAAACAACCAAGGCTTATTTAATCCCCGCTACGTCCCAGCCACCTTCAGTTATCAGCCCTCTAGAGTCTGAACTCGGTGGAGATGTTCCTCGCAGTCCCAACAGCGTGGACCCAAAGGCTGAGGGGAACGGAGAAGGAAACGAAGGCCCCAGTCCAGAAGGAGGTGAGTTACATGTGGTTAAGTCATCATCTTCTGTTCATGAAACATAACAAGAAACCATCAGCTTTATCTGTTAGCGCCCTTCCCTAATCTATGAAAGTGAAAATGCCTGCTTGCCAGGACCTTTACGCAGAACCTAGAGATCACCAGACATGGTAGCGGACTTATTTCAAGAAATATCTGAATCTCATATTCAGCTGTTTTGTCTCAATTGGTCTCAGATATAAACCGATACAAATATGGTAAAAAAAGATACCGTCCTAAGAATATCGGGGAGCGCAGCGATGACAGAAATGACGTGTCAAACGCGCAGATTCCTGCCAACACAGAATGGAGCGCAGGCAGAAAGTGGAAGGAAAATTCTGAATGATTATCAAAATTATTTTCAGTGGAAATCTGTAAAGTCTGAGAAATGTAACTGCAGCGTACATGCAGCTGTCATGTATGCTTTCTAAACCTAAGAAGTTTTAGAAAATATTGGGAGAAGAAATAACATCAGAGACCATAATTTGCTGGGACCGGTGTTATGAACCAAAAAAAAAAGTCCCAGCAGCGGGAACAGGAAGCAGATTTTATTTTTTTAAATGTTTTATTGGCTCTTGTGGCCTTTATTTGACAGTAAAGTGGGGAATGGGATAAGGGGGAAGACATGCAGCAAAGGTCACCAGGTTGGGAATCTGCCTCCATATGCGGGTTGGGCTTTACTCCTGCACCACCACAGCACCGCAGGAAGCAGCTTCAGAAACATTTTATACTTGTTATCAGTCACGGTGAGAAGTGGCTTGTTTTTGTTTTGTTTTGTTTGCTTTTCAGCTTTTTGTCATCAAAAAGCCGAAAAGACAAGAAACAGCCAGCAGTTTCTTGTCTGAAACTCCAGTTAGTCCCAGCGCATCCAAACCACTTGACTCGCCACTAATGAAGTGAAATTCCAATTATTACTCTGAGGTCATGTCCTAAATTCTCGCAAATGAGAGTTTGTACCT